GGAGCCAAGTATGTATGACACTCCACAGTTCTAAGTCAAAGTCCCTATTATATGGGGGCCAATCAGTGAAAGTTAACATGAATACATAAAACTCTATCAAAGAATATTATCAAATCTTGGCCAGGTTAGATTAGGTGTGGCTGCATATAACTTGGGAGTTCAAAATAACAGTGACTTAGACAACATCTTTTATTTCTGTCAGGTAAAAGAAGAGTACAGCGACATTGGTTCATGGCTTCCACCTTCAAGGTCACCAGGTACTCAAGAGCACATGCTGAAAATCCAGCCATCACATCCACACTCCAAAAAGCAGAAAAGAGGAAGCCTCTTTAGAGGGCTTTCCTGGAAGATTCTGTTCCTATCTCATTGGCCCAATTTAGCCATGTGGCCAGCTGTCATCTCTGAGGCGGGCATATTGTTCTTCCTCACAGAGTGGAAGACCTGTACTAAGGGAGATGGAAGAATCAACACCAGATAGGGAAGTAGCAACCTCCCCCAGTCTGACCTTTGCCTGACCCTTTGAGATGCTGGAATTTACCTTATCATAAGTACATCCCAGTTCTGAGAGAGCACACATACACTTACCATTCCTGTTCATGGTGAGAGAAGATGGATGAAGAAGATAAGAGTTTGGCAAAAGAGCTTAGATTTCTTAAGGCTGTTTAGCCTGGGGACAGGTGGTGAATTCTCAATGGCGAGGTAGATAAATCAGTTTCCAGGTGGGCCTTTGCCGTGATACTCCGAATCTATGGCTATCCCCTGCTTCATTATTAATTCTATAAACCAAGGTTTTACTCATGGACAGGAAATATGTGGCATAAGTGTTATCTTCTCCTCCTTTCCTCATGGCAGTATTTTTCCCTGTTCAGCTAGAATATGACCTCAGAATCCTTTGCAACACAATGTTCCTGGCAGTTATACTGGTTCAAAAGATTTGTCTTTGGTGTTGAATTATACCTGTCATTTTTAATTGCTTATGGGAATTTTCAATGTGAAAGATTATCTGAGTAAAATTCTTTATGGGATAAATCTTTCACAAGTATATCCACAGGTAATAAAGTTATATATTTACAGGTAGCAGGCTTGGCATTCTTCAGATTTTAGCACTACATGACTATAATCACTCACATTAGTGACCATGTTCCAAGCCTGTTAATTTGAGTATTTACTGGACTTTGAGTTTCTCTAAGAATTATATTGTATCCATGTTTGTATCCCCAAGGTGTCTGGCTCAGCACACTTTCAAATGTTTTACAAACAAATGAATCACCTACATTGGTCAAGATCAAGAGGCTATCAAAGTAAATACTTCCCCATAGCTGGTTACTGTGGACTGCTTACCATCAAGAGTACCAAACAGATGACTTATTTGAGGGGAGGTCATTGGGTGACAAGAGCATTGATGGTACAATAAAGAGTTTTGGTGCACAACGTCCTTACAAACATTTGAGTAACTGCACAGAAAACCGGCTACCTGTTGACAAAGAAAGGGCAGATACACTCTGAGCGGGGTTTTTTTTTTCCCTTTTTTTCCTTGAGACTAGCCTTTTCCCTTCTTTTGACTAATGGTCCAGGTCCTGGGCTAACCTGACTCAGTGTTTTTTGTATTCTGGGAGGTGTTTCAACGTGTTGTGCAAATGACAGATTCTTATTTCATGGATCAGTATGTGTGTAGCTGAAGTGAGAATGTAATTATGCTCTACTTAATTAAGGTAGCCTATATTCACTGATTTGTCTTAAGATCTTATAACTCATTTAAGTTAACACTAATGTCATTTATGTTTTAAATATTTTGGTTTCACTGAAAATTTTGTTGAAAGAAAAAGCTACTTTAAAAATGTGAAGGGCACTGGCTTAACAAGCTCACACAAGTCCATATTTACCTCTTTTTAATGACCAAATTCTTAAACCCTGGTAACAAAGAAAGATGAAGGAAAAGAATTGTGAAATGATTCTTTCTGCTCAAAGCAGGACTGGTTCTGATTAGATCCAGGTTGATGTTTTATAAGCAAGCTGAATGTTTTGAGGACAGGGCCTGGATTGAAGTGCTCACCTCCTCCCCACCCCCCTGCAGTCCTAATCCTGGGCTAGATCCACCCTACTGAGGAAATGTCCCCATATTTAGATTCCTAAGTGATATAATCAGAGACGGCTGTATCACCAGAGTTGGCTAAATTTCTGCATAATGCTTCTCCTTGTTGGCTGGCTACTTAGTTTAGTCAGAAGGGTTGGGCGCCACAGAAATAACAAGGGTCCTTTCTCTTCTCTCTTCTCCAAGTCTAGAACTAGTCCTAAGAGGTCACTCACAGCTTAATTCAGCAAGAGAATAGAAAAGGGAAGAGGAAGAAAGCAGGACTAGAGTCCTTTTTTCAAAGATCCTCACCTGAGGATCTGTTTTATTGATTTGAGAGAGACATGGATGTGTGAAAGAAACATCAACTGGCTGACTCCCATATGGGACCCGACCGGGACTGAACTGAAATTTAGGTATGTGTTCTCATCGGGAATCAAACTCACAACTTTTGGTGTGCCGGACAACACTGTCATTGACTGAGCCACCCGGCCAGGGCAGCACTATTGTCTTTTTATCCCTGATTTCTTCTCTCATTATTCCAATCTATCTCCTGCCCCTATTCTGTTCAGTGACACCTCCAGGTGGGGGCAAGAGGTTGGGCTGGATGCAACTGAAAGGGACCTTATAGACTGTAGTCAGAACCAAGGAGCAACATCCCCAGTTAGGCCATTTCTTACCTTAGATAGGTTTACTTATTGGAATTGAAGTGTTTTTATTTGTAAAATGTGAGATAACAGCATAGGCTTAGATGTAAAAAATACTCAGTACAATGCCTGGTTTCCAGCAAGTGTTCAATACATGCCACCTTTCTTAAAGTGTCACTGAGTGTCAAATAGGAGGAATCTCTGCCTGGAGAAACGTGAAATGTGTTTTTGTGTGTGTGGGGGAGAGGTTGTGTGTGGAAGGGTGTGGTGGTTGGCACTCATGTAAATCACTGGTGATGCTTCAGCACTTATCTTTCTTCCCCAGGCCTGCTGACCAAAAGTCATACTAATGAATAAGCCCAACAGGTGCATTTCTAAGGAAAATACAGTGGGAATGTCAAAGAGTGGGTAGAGGTGGTGGGGGAACAGAAAGTCCCTGCAGACCACTGGTTGTCCCATCTTTTGGCACGTTTGTGGCTATCCTGGCCCCTAGTCACATCTTCATGTCTCCAGGTGTTGTTCCCAATTAATACTCCCAGGACCCTGAGGAAGAGGAAGCTTGAAACAGCCCTGCCACCTGTCCCCTCTTAAGCCCTTCAAACCATATGATTAATTGTAAATTTTATGATTAAATAAAAATTATTTAATGTCCCTTAAGTGAATATGCCATACATACATGGTTTAGTAATTGGGTGCTTGTGGCACCGAAACTACAAAACAGCATTGTAACCCTGAAAATCTGGATGTACACTCTCATTGACTTGTAGTTGTGGTCCAGTCCGTTTCCTGGGAGGCAAGGGTGTAAGACTGCCTTAATAAAGAACCTTATTTTATTTGCTTTGTTGCTATCTCCCCACCTCTCTCTGGCTGCATTCTTCAGAACTTCCTTCGGTTATCTTGTCAGTATCAGCGCTTTGCTGCCATTTATCTTCCAAGGTCACCCAATCGGCAAAAATATAGTTGGATCATGGAGCTTTTAAAAATGTAACCTAATAAATGTATAAACATGATCAAGAGGGGCAGCGCAGGTTAAAAAAAAAGGTTGGATGTCAAGAATTAAACGAATTAGTGTTAAAGCCTGTGGCAACATGTACACATATTACCATGCCATCTTTTGTTTTCTTTTACTACCTGTTACTTCATCTTCCTGGGCCTCAGTTTCCCCGTATGTTAATTAAGAGCCCTGCACCCAATGTTTTTCTTTCAAAGACATTTTTCCTCCTGCCTCTCCTCACAACTCCTTCCCTGAGTATTTGGAAGCGGGTGTGCCGGTTACTTCTGCACCACCGGGAGAGCTAATCTTGACTTCATTTTAGCGGTTTGGGTTCAGACAACCCAGCAGAAGAGGACAGCAGCGTTTTAAAGGTAACAGATTAGCTGGTGTTACATACCTGCCTCTACCTCCCCAAAACCTCCGTGAGACTTAAAAGGCTACAGCTGACTGCACGCTGAAATAGCCCAGGGGCCACCATCAAGTCCTCCGCAAAGCTCGACGCAGACGAGAGAACTCCCAAATCAAGGGCCACTTCCTCTTAAAAGCTTTAAAGAAAGAAAAACGAAGAACGGCCCCATCCCCGTTCCCGGGAGTGGCCAGCGCAGATTCGGGGACCCGGGGCCACCACCACACCCCTTCATCCCCGTTGGGTTGGGCGGGGCGGTGGAACGGAGGACGGAGACCAGAGAAGTCGGGCCTCCCGACGCCAGCGGCCGCTAACTTGCTGCAGCCCTCCCGCCTGCGATCTGCTTCCAGGGCAGCGGGAAGGGGCGGTGCCGGGGTGGGGCAGGAGCCCAGGCTCCTCCGGGCCCTTACAGGCCGGCCTCTCGGCGTAGAGGAGGAGGACTGTGCCCGCCCACCGCACCCCCGCTGTCTGCTCCGCCCTGCCCCTACACAGTCTACGCCCCCTCGTCCCCCAGCTGCCGCTACCCGGGACTCGCGTCTCTGCCGCCTGAACCGGAACCTCTTGCGGAGGCCGCGGCCGGGTGCGGGCGCGGAGCGGGAAGCGCGAGGAGGCGTTGAGCCCGGCGCCCGCCATGGCCGCGGCCGGGTGAGGCGGGCGCGGCCGTGCATTCGCGCGGTACGGGCTGTCCTCCGCCTCGGGCAGGCCCAGGAGACGCGGAGACCGAGGGAGCCGCCTGCTGCCGCTGGTTGCCGCCCCGCCCGCTGCCCATGGCGAGGCCCCACCATCGCTGCTGACCGCGCTTCCGTCCGTCCCCGGCGGCGGGCGGGCCTCGCTCTACGTTCGGCCCCGGGAGCCCCGCGAGCGCCGCGGGCCCCGGGCCGCCGACGATGGGGAACACTACCTCGTGCTGCGTGTCTTCCAGCCCCAAGCTCCGGAGGAATGCACACTCCCGGCTGGAGTCCTACCGGCCGGACGCGGACCTGAGCCGCGAGGACACAGGCTGCAACCTGCAGCACATCAGCGACCGGGAGAACATCGACGGTGAGCGCGGCCCGGCCGGGAACCTCACAGCCCGGCTCCGGACTTGGGCTCGGGTACCGCGGGCAGGGGGCCGGTGGCCAGGTGACAGGAGCCGTCCCTGGTCAGCCCAGGTCTCCAGGCGTGAAGGGGACAGCTCTGGGCACGGGCGGTGGAGAGCCCTGGTCTCGGGCAAGGACTGTTTCGGGCCATAATTAAGCTGTTGGCGACCAGGCTCAGCTCACTTGTTTTTTAAAAAGTGAAGTGAGTGGACACGGTCTTGGGTAAAACTGAGGACTGAATCCCTGGTTTGGACTAGTCTGTACCTAGAGTTGGAGAACAGGATTGGCCTGTGTCAACCCCGGAAACTTACATGTTGATCCCACTTGGCTGTCCCTCACCAGCGTTTCCTTCAAAAACTAAAAACAAAACCAAAGGCTTCCCAGCAAAGGATTTGGAGGGGGTGATTTGAGACATTGGAGTCAAATTGCTCCACTTGAATGCTTCAAAATTTTCTTTAGAGTATCATTGGAATGGTTTGGAAACATCTTGGGGTTGTACCCCATTTTTGCTTGGGACTGAATTACGTCCTATGAATTCCTAATTGATCTGAGTGACATTTGTTTTGGGTTAGTGTTTATAAAGGAAGTTAAACGACCCATCACTGCACTTAGTAAAGTTTATTTTACTGGTGTCTTTATTAATAATTTAGAAATATAATTTTGTTAATAAGCTACGTTGCTTAATATCTACAGGTGGGTAGTTTATGTGATTTCCAACTTTTAAGAAATTTGAAATGTGAAATATATTTTTATGACAACTTGATTTTTCTTTCTTTTTTAACCCAGAAATATCAAAGTTGATGTGTTTGAACCAACCTGAAAAGATTTCTTGTTTGAGTGAATTGGCATAACTGTCATAATTCATTCGTGTCAACTTTAGGGGGGCACGTGTGCTCTAGTGTGGAAAGCCAAGTTTAAACTCAATCAAAAGTAAGAATTTTCTCATCGTTTGGCATTCTTTAATTTCTTTTAAGTAGTAATTTCATGTCTTTAGGAGAGCAAATTTGTTAAATAAGTATTGTACCACATATAAAGAGACTAATATAATATCTGGCGTGTGTTATAGTAGGTGCATAGTAAGTTAGGGTTCCAAGTGACATTTCTAGTGTTGTTGCTTTAGACTAGCATTATTTTAACCTACTCTTTAGAGATTTTGAGTTACATCCATACTTCATTTTAAAATTTAGGCACGTAGAGGCATCTAGAAGGATATTAAGGCTGGATATATCTTCATCACTGCTCTGGTCACAAGAACCTAAAAGAAGTGTTTAGCATATAATAAAGACTTAATGAGTATCTTATTTTAAAGATGTGAATGAATGAATGAGTTTATTATAGAAAGCCATTACCTAGGCCTGTACTGTGTTGGTTGTCAAAAATATTTGGCAATAATGCCTCCTTTATGTTGTGCACTAATACCGGGTAGAGACTTTATGATTTAAATATTAGATTTAAGAATACAAACAGAAGGAAGAGTTCACATTTCTTAGAGCTAGGCTGCATACTGGTATTGACTAGAGTGAGGAAATGGGGCCAGGGGCCGGGTGGGGGGGCTGTGGGGAGTAATTGTAATCAGCTGTTTGGCAATAAGGCTTGGGAGGGTTTTGCCAGAGAAAAATAGAATAGTATTGTGTGTTCTTTCTTTTGAGGGAAATCTAAATTTGGTCATCACTCACTTTTGAGAAAACATTTGGAAGACCACCAACTCAAGTTTTGTAGGTTCTAGATAGTTTAAGAGACTAAGTCGGGGTAAGAAGATTTCTAATGTAGGCTGTAGTGCCCTCTCACCCCAGAACCCAATTCATACAATGATGCTAGTTTATACCCAGAAACATTTAAACAGTCTTCTCTTTGTTTCCCAAGTTTAGTAAATAGTACTTCTGGGTTTACCTATCCAGCAGTTCTCAAGTCCAGAAATGTAGGACTGGGCCTTTGCATGTTGTTTAAAGCTCTCCAGTAATTCTAAGATGCAGCCAGCGTTGAGAATTGCTCCTGTTGTTGAGGGAGGGATATTTTCCATAGAAATTCATTCAGTGTCAGAAGTTGGACAGGAGACCAGATTTATGTTAAATAAGATGCATACTGTATTTTGTCATGTATAATGCTCATCCACACCAATTATTGTATTACAGAGGGTATTATTTTGCATATGGATATGGTTATTGTTCCATAAACAATAACCATAACCAATAACCATATTGTTCCATAAAGAGTTACACTTTTAATGCATAAGCAAAAATAAAAGAATTAAAAACATTTATATAGGTATGGAATTAGTACTACCCACGTATAATGCGCATCTTTATTTCCCCTTAAAAATTGTGACAAAATACTGCGTGTTGTACATGGCAAGATATGGTATATATGTATGCACACAAACATGACTTACTGTATTGTTAGATGATTAGTAAACATTTTAAAACTACATCTCAATTCTTTTTTAAATTAAATTTTATTGGGGTGTCATTGGTTAATAAAATTATACAAGATTGTCAGGAAAAAGTTACATCCATTGTCAATACAATGAGAAGGGTTTGCCCAACATCTATGTATACTGACAGCCAAGGAGAGTGGACTGGGATGCACATGCATGAACAATGACAACTTCACTGAACTAGTCAGTAGACTGTAAACACAGCTGATTGAGCTTGTGTACTGTGTGGCTGTTGCATTCAAAATGACTGAGTAAGTAGAGCAATGAGCCTGCATCACATTTTTCGTTCAGCTCAAAAATTCCTCCAAGGAAGCTATTCAGATGATTCAGAAGGCCATAGCTATAGGCAGCTGGTGATTGGCAGCTTCACCGGGACAATGTGCCCACTCACGCATCACATCTTGTGCAGTTTTTTTGTGAAACATCATATCACCCAGGTAACTCAGCCCCCCTACAGCCCCGATTTGGTGCCCTGGGACTTCTGGCTTTTCCCAAAACTAAAATTGCCTTTGAAAGGGAAAAGATTTCAGATAGTTGATGACATTCACGAGAATACAACGGGGTAGCTGATGATGACTGGGAGAATTGTGAGGTACCAAGGTGCCTACTTTGAAGGAAACTGAGGTGTCATTGTCCCATGTACAAAGTTTCTTGTATCTTCTTCAATAAATGTCTCTAATTTTTATATTATATGACTGGATGCCTTCTGGACAGACCTTAATGTAAGTTACATCTCAGTTCTTGATTCTAAGGTAGTATATAACAAAAGTACAGTATATAACAAAAGCTGAAACGCACAAATGCCATCTTTCTTACATACAGAAAGATGTTCCAGACAACTAGAATGGAAGGGTTCGGAGATGGTTATGAGGTTTCTGTGATAGGTGAGTTTCTTTAAATCATAAAGAAATGAGCTATGTACTCGTGTTTTCTCTGTTCAAACACACAGTGGGTACTCCTTGTTGCATAGGATTTCAGTGACTGAGTTAGGGCAGCTGGCTCCCATGAGACCTACCTGCAGCTTGCTCTCTGTCTTTGTACTCTGTGTATGTTAGTGTTAGGTTATTCATGTTTTTGGAATTTATATTAGACTGAGTAGCTCCCTTGGTATTACTTCTCATGAAATGATTGTGAGATTGAGAAATAACAAAAACAGTTAATAATGATAGTAATAATTACAACCCTTATATATTGCTTACTCTGTGCCAGATACTGCTTGACATCTCTTCATTTATTATCAGAACAACCCTATGGGTAATTTTATCCTAACTTTAAGACAAAGATGTGAGGCAGAGTGAGAAGAAATGATGTGTCTAAAGTCATATAGCTACTGAATGGCCAATGGAAACTTTCCCTTGTTGCTTGACTAGCCATCAAACACGTTAAGTAGTCTGGGGTTGTCTTGTGGGGGTAGGCTGTCTATCATTGCAGTCGTATCTGAGAAGGGACTTTATCTATCTGCAACAGATTGGACTTTGCTGAGTAGTTTATTTCTGTGGGAGGGGAAAGAGAGGCATGGATCAAAGAAAGTTTAGAATTCTATGAGAGCAAATAAATCAGGACACTTGTAACATGTGTATTTTAGTGTCAGTTGGAGAGTTAGGCCTCAGCATGATTGATGGCACCTTCATCTTTTGTATATCAGTTGTCATCCTTGACAATCCAGTAGCTCCTTCATCCCATCTCCAATCTGCTAGGAAAGCATTACTCTCTACCTTTAAAATAGATCTAGAATCTGATCACTTTTTTGTTCTTTTTATCCTTACCAAAGGACATTTTTTCATTGTTTTTAGAGAAACAGATTGGTTGCCTCCCATACGTGCCCAGAACTGGGATCCTATGAGCCTGGACCAGGGATTGAACCTATAATCTAGGTATGTGCCCTGACCAGGGATTGAACCCGCAACCTTTTGGTGTACGGGACGGTGCTCCAACCAACTGAGCCACATCTGCCAGGGCCAGAATCTGATCACTGTTTTATACCTTTCCTGCTGCTCTTGTGCTAAATAGCCTAATTGTCTCCTTGCTTCCACCCTAGCCTGCTGCAGTGTGTACTCAACCACAGTTGCTGTGGTGAGATCCTTTTTAAAACAACACATCACTTCCTTGCTCAAAAACTGCAATGACTCCTTATTTTATGTGGAGAAAAAACTTTACAATGGACTTTTACAGTAGAGGGCACTAAGGCCCTTTGTGATCTGCCTGCCTTCCTCACTCACTCACTCACTCACTCACTAGCTCATTCCAGCCACATTGACTTTGTTCGGTGCTTCAGTGCTGTTCCTTGAACATACCAGACATACTTTTTCCCCCGAGGACCTTTGCTCTGTCCTTCTGCCTGGAATGCTTTTTTTGTATTCTCTTGGCTAACATCCTCACTGTCTTAAGTCTTTGTTCATGTCTCACCTTTTCATTGAGGCCTTCCTTGTCACCCCATTTAACATCCATCCCATCAGCAATCCTAAAATACATCCTTTGTCCTAATGATTCTTTATTCCATGTCACCTATAACATGCTGTACAAGTGTA